CAGCACCATTTAATGAAAAGATTATCCTTTCTCAACCAAATTTCCTTTGTGCTTCTATTTAAAATAGATTATATAGGTATAGTACTATTGCTGGATTCCCCAAACTGTTGCATTAGTCTGTCTCTGTGTGGTGTCATGGCAATACTGGCCACTTAGAATGTTTTGGGAAGTAGTCCCTCCCAAGTAGTAATAGTGTTTTTATAGAATTGGTTTTTTTTTTTATAGAATTGCTTGCTAAAAGTTATTATTGAAGCCATAATAGCTTTAGAGCTACTCAGGTTATCTTTGTACTAGTTTCTTTATCCTACTTTGGCTTAAATTTTTTCTTATTCTAGTATTGTAAGGTAATACCTAAAGTCATTAATTGGAGAACTTCCTTCTTTCTTAATATGCATTTTAATACTGTGGTTTCCAGTACTTCTTTAGTTGTGTCTCACAAACTTTGATGCGTGTTTTCACTGTCTCCTGATTCAAAAGATTTTTTTATTTTCCCTTTTAATTTCATTAACCCATGCATTATTTAGACATATAGTTTCAAAATATTCTGTAATTTTCCAGATAGTTTTCTCTTATTGATTTCATTCCTGAGAGCATACTTTGGTCAGGGATCACACTTTGAATCCTTTGAAATTTCAGGCTTTTGTTATGCTTTGGATATGAAGTGTCCTCAAAATGTTCATGTGTTCAAGGTTTGGTCCACAGCTGTTGGTGCCATTGGAAGGTAATTGGATTATGAAATGCTAACTCCATGCCGTAGGTGAATTTATAGATGAATGGGCTATTAGGAAGTGGGGAGGAAGTAGATCACTGGAGGCATACCTCTGAAGAGTGTAACTCATCCCCAATGTCTCCCTCACTCTGCTTCCGGATCTTCTGCTTCCCAGCTGCCATGAAGTGAGCAGGTCCACTGCTCCCTCTCCACTATGGTCCTCTCCCTTACCAGACGCCAATAGCAATGGAACCAGCTGACCTTAGGTATCAGGTATTTTATCACAGTGACATATGAAAGTGGCTAACGCAGATTTATTTTATGATATAAATATAATCATGGTAAATATCCTTTCCTTTTCTTCTTGTGGTGCTAGGGAATGAATCCATGTCCTTGCAAATGCTAGGCAAGCACTCTACCACTGAGCTATAGCCCCAGCTCTTTTTTTTTTTTTAATTCAGTTAGTTTTTATTTTATTTTGCACACAATGTTGGGGGGGATGACTGGCTGGTGGTGGTTGGTGGTGACTGCTTGGCTTGTTTTGCTTGCTTCTTTTATTTTTATTTATTTATTATGATTTTCTTTCTGTGGCGGCAGCGACTGCTTTCTTTCTTTCTTTTTTTTTTTGTAATTTTTCACACGGGTTGGGAGGATGAAGGAGGAATTCCCTGAATATCCATCTATATCTAACTAAAACCTCTCTCTTTCTCTCTGTCCCTCTCTCCCTTTTCCTCTCCCTCTTCCTCTTTCCCTCTCTCTCCAGCTACCACAGACCCTCCTAACCCCAGCTCTTCATCTTGGTAAATACTCTGTGCACTTAAAAAGCATGTATAATCTGTTGTTTGGTGGAATGTTCCACAAATGACAGCTAGACCAAGTTGACTAATTGTGTTGTCCAATTCTTTTATATCCTTTCCAATACTATGTTTGTTCTCTTGATTTTTAATAGATGGATATTGAAATCTTTGATTATAATTGCAGATTTGTCTGCTTCTTACAGTTCTATCAAGCTTTGTTCCATGCACTTTAAAACTGTCATTAGCTCCATTAGCATAAACATGTAGGATTCTTATAGCTTCTTGATGAATTGACTCTTTTTCAATCTTTGTGAAATGCCCCTCTTCGTTCCTCATGATACATTCTGAGCTCTAGGTGCTCCATGATAGTCACTTCATCTTTCTTTTGAATGGTGTATATTCTCCCTCCTTTTACTCTTAAACAATTTGTATCTATATTTAAGGTGTTTCTGGTGTGTGGTATATAGTTGAGTTTATGTTTTATCTAATAATTTCTGCTTTTTATTTGGGTTGTTTAGACTGTTTACATGTAATATGATTCTTGATTTGTTTGTATATTAATCTCTTTTGCTATTTGTGTTCAATTTGTTCCGTCTGTTCATTATTTCTTCTTCCTTTCTTTCTTTTGAATTTGAGTATTTTTATGCTTGTTTTTATTTTCCTTGTTGGCTTATTAGCTACAACTCTTTGTTGTACTATTAATGGTTGCTTAAGGTCCATATAATCTGCCTTGAAGTGATATTATACTACATGTATTATATAAGAACTTTACAATAACTATACTTTTACTTTTCCCTTCATGGTCTTTGTGTTATTGTCAAACACTTGACTGTTATATATATTATATAGCCCATAGTGCATTACTGGTCTTGGTTTGGATAATTGATTCTCTTTTAAAGCAGTTATAATAAGAAAAAAAAAAAAAACTACCCATGTAGTTACCATTTCCAGTGAACAAATATTTTCCCTTTTTATAGCTGTAGGTTTCCATCTGGTATCATTTTTCTCTGCTTGATGGACTTCAACATTTCTTACAGTGTAGGTCTCTAGGATAAAGTGGTTTTTTTTGTTTTTGTTTTGTTTTTTGTTTTCTCCCAGTGCTGGGGATGGAATCTAGGGCCTTATACATGCTAGACAAGTGCCATCCCAGTGAGCTATACCCCCAGCCCAAAGCTGTTTTTTGTTGTTTTGTTTTTTCTTTCATTGCTTTAAAGAAAGCATTCCACTGTTTGCATAGCTTGCCTTATTTCTGACAAGGAATCTGCTGCCATCCTCTTCTATATGTAATGTGCAGGTTTCCCTGGTTGCTTTTAAATTTATCTCTGTGACTGGTGTTAAGCAATCTGATGATGTGTGACTTGGTATAGTTGTGTTCATGTTTCTTAATCTTGGGTTTGTTGAGCTCCTTGAATCTTTGAGTTTTCATTATTTAGCAAATTATCAGCTATTATTTGTTCAAATGTTTTTTTGTCCTGCCCATTCTTTGCCCTTTACAATTATGTTTAGCTGCTTGAAATTGTCTCATAATTCACTGATACATTATTCAATGTTTTTTCCAGTCTTTTCTCTCTGTGTGTTTCATTGTGGATAATTTATCTTGCTATTTATTCATGTTCACTGTTCTTTTATTCTTTCATGTCTGATCTGCCATTAATCTCATATTTCACACCCACTATTTTGGGTTTTCTTTTTTAACCTCCAGAAGTTTGACTTAGGCTTTTATATTTTTCATATCTCCACTTAATATATTTAATCTTTCCTCTAGCTTCTTGAAATTACATCATTTTAATATGTTGGTCTGTTAAACTGTCCTCTGTATCACTTCTGAGTTTCCATTGATCTTTCTCATTACAGATTGTATTTACCTAGTTCTTTGTGTAATTGGTAATTTTCAATTGTATGCCAGATGCTGGAAATTGCACATTGTCAGGTGTGGACATTTCTGTATTATCATTGTTCTTGGGCTTTGTTCTGTGATACAATGAACCTTCTTGTAAATAGTGATCCTTTGGGTATTGGTTTTATGCTTTGGTGGGCAGAACCCTATCAGCCGTGAATCTTGATACATTTTCCCACAACCAAGGCACCACCATTTTTCCTACTGTAAACAGTGCCCCCTGAATTACGAGTTTTTTTTTTTTACTCTGGCTTCAGCAACAGACACTAGCCCTAGCCCTGCATGAGCTGGGGACTCTGTTCTCTCTACTCCTTTTGAGTGGTTCTTGCCTTGATCCTGGGTGGCTTTCTAACTTGTATCAGTACTCCACTGAATGTTCAAGGGGACCCTCTGCAGACCCCCAGCATTCTGTCTGTATTCTGTCCTGTAAACTCTAGTCACTGTAGCTTTCCATGTTCCCCTAGGGGTTCCGTTTTCCACCTAGGGGGATCTCTAGGTTCCTGAACCCCAACCTGGCAACATTCTCCAGACAGTAGGCTAGGACAGTCATAGAGCTCACTTCATTTTATTCTTATTGCTAACGAATCACTTCATGTTCTGATGTCCCATGTCTAGAGAGCCATTGTTTTACACATTTTGTCAATGTTTCATTTGATTTTGGAGGGAGGGCAAATACAGCCCCCAATGCTGGCTTGACCTATTTTCTTTGGGGTTTTGTAATTTCTGATTTTCTGAAAGGAACTTTATTGGCCTTTTCTTATGTAAAAATGAAAAGCATAAAATTTATTTCAGTTTTAAAGATACATTAACACAAAAGTGTGCATTTTATAAAATGTGAGTCTAGCTGAACTTTTCAGTGTTCTAAATCAGTTTTATAATTAAAATATGCATGCTTTCAACTTAGGAAAAAAATAGCACAAACAAGCAAGGCAGGAATGACCATCTGGACTGTAGTTATAGCTGACTTAGTCTATATGGAAAGTTCTGTCTTGACTTCACACAGGCACCTTTATGCAAAAAATGGCTTCCAAGGCCCACCCTTTTATTGACCTCACCATTCTGTAGCGTTTCAGCTACAAAGTCTGCTGGTCTCATTCCTTTAGTCACTTAGTAACTGCATAAGAAAGAAATAATAAAGCATAGTAGAAAATAGATTCTTCTACTCATTGCCCTACAGCTTTGAGGGAAATAAGAGACTGATCTCAATTAAACTTGAAAGTGAATCTCAAACTATGCATGTTTGGCTGAGCATGGTCAGGTTTTCCTTTGATACGCTGTGCCCCGACAGACCATTAAAATGTCAGGCCTGTTCTAATTCAGGTTGAAGAACATCTTGCTCTACTTTTGTTGTAGTTCAGATAATTTTAGAATATAGATGGATTCATTTTCACTTTATCGTCATCCACTAACTTTAAAAAAATAATGAGTACATCGAAAGAAATTGGGGTTTGAGATAAGGCTCATAAAATTCCTTTAGTTGTCTTAGGTTTTGACTTAGAAGGTAACTCCATTCCAATTAAAGGTTCAAAGCCACCTCTTAAAAACTGTCCTGAATTACAGCTATATAATAACACTATCAATTCTCTCATTTATTTAGATGAAGAACTAGTGGATGTCTCTGCATCTGTCTTACCAGAATTGAAAAGAGAAACATATGGCAAGATTCAAGTCTGTGCAAAGCAGAGGCTGGCTCGTTACAGTTCCTTTAACACAATTCAGACTTCTGAGAGGGTTCAGAGGAAAGTGAACTCTGAGCCTAGCAGCCCGTACAGAGAAAACCAAGGTATCCACAAAATCCATTAGTTGAGATAGCAGCCCTAGTCATACGCTGTCCTTTTTAAATGATCTCACTCCCTAGACCCCACTTGTGTTTTTTTTAAGGTCTCCTTTTCACTTGGTCTGAGTGTAAAACGGTTATTGGCAGCAACAGAAATGCTGACTTCACAGTGTGTGAACATGGCCCCACACTTGAAACTGATCCAGCCAGCCTTGATCAATTGGTTTGCCATGGTTGGCTTGTTTGATGTATCTCAGAAATTCATCAGACTTACTTGTTTTATTTTCTTACTGATTCTTGATGAGACCTGAATTTACCATAACAACTAGACTCTAGAAATTTCTCTCTCTGAATCAAAACCAGAACAGATCTGAGATAGTTTTATAATCTTCGGCTATGAGTAATGAATTCTGCTATATATAGCTGGCATGTATAATTCTCCTGCTATATTTGTTAAACCTTCATTTTCCTTTTCAGGATCAGGTGGCTATTCCTTAGAAATTGGAAGTCTGGCAGCTGTCTACAGACAGAAAATAGAAGACAATTCACAGTAAGTAGTCTTTAATAACTCAGAGTATGTTCTTTTCTATTTTCTAATGCTACTTTTGTTAAGTTGAAATGCTACCCATCACAAGATGAAAATAAATGCCCAACACTGCCAGAAAATAACATCAGGGACACAAAAATATGAAAAGTTTATCCCCTGAACTAGCTTTCAGGGAGCAAAATAAAAGACAATATACCGGGGGGAAAAAAGTCACTATAAAAATGACAGAAATGATGCAGCTTAATCCCATGGGTCACTTTGCCATCTTTCTGACTAACTTTATGTACTATCAGATAGTATTCCAGCATCTTTAATGTTTTTAACCCATCTGATCATAGCAATCTTTTTTGAGGCTGCTACAATTATCCTCATTTTACAGAGAGGAAACTGAAATCCAAATAGGTTAAGTAACTTGCCGGAAGTCACATTGTCAGTAAGCAACAGAGCTGGGACTCAAACCCAGCTGGCCTAAATTTGGCATTTAGTTTTGAAGGAAAACATTTATTGTCAGAGAATGCAAAAAAAAATACTTAGGAGAGAATGAGAGGTTTTATTTTTGTTTGTTTTTTTTCCTGGTACTAGGGTTTGAACTCGGGGCCTCCCGCTTGATCACTCTACTACTTGAGACACACTCCTCCCAACCCTTTTTGCTTTAGTTTTTTTTTAATAGAATCTTGTGTTTTTCCCAGGCCAGCCTGGACTGGGATCCTCCTGTTTATGCTTCTCACATAGCTGGGATGATAAGTGCCCACTACCGTACCCAGCTTTGAGATGGGGAGTCCCACTAACTTTCTGCTTGGGCTAGCCTGGAACCATAATTTTCCTGATCTACACCTCTCAAGTAGCTGCAGTTACAGTTGTTAGTCACAGCATTTGGCCCAAAAAGGGTTTTTAATGACAGATAGGAACAGATTGTGAGGCAGAATCAGGGAGGAGAGGGACAAAAGACTGATTAGTTTAGCTGTCATGATTTGTCCAAATAAAATAGTAAGGGGAAATATTATTCATAAGAAGAGCTTGGATACAGCTCAACTTGGCAAAAGCATTGAAAACCAGGTAGAAGCATTTGGATTCACTAGACAGTAAAGAACTAGGTTCACTGAAAAAGATCTTGCTGACTGAGCTGGGAGCAGGTAAAACTGGAAGCACAGAAGGGCTCCTGATAAGCAGATCACAGAATAGGGCATTGGTGGTGGTTCTGGTTTGCTGTAGTACAGATCTGACTCATGACAGCTGGAGTTGTAAAGAAAGGGAAATCAGTGTAAGACAGTGAGTCAGCAAGACATTCTGAAGTAGACAGGCGTGAGAAGAACATGGCAGGTCGGGTGATGGCGATATTTCGGGTGGACATATGGTAAGTTTGAAAGTGAATGTCTGGGGTTAGGCGGTGGTTGATATACTCCATGTGGCCTGCTGAGTTTCATAGAGTTGACTAATACCGATTCCTCACTTAGGGAGGGCATGGCTGGAGATGTGCTCATTTCTGCAGCCCTGTGCACTCCATTTGGTTCATAATGCACCATGAGAAAGTGGGCCAAGTGGGTTTCAATGATTCCGTCAGAAAGGACAAAGGAATCCCTGTCCTCCCATTTACCAGCTCTTAAAAGATTTTCCTTATTTATTTCTAAAATTGTACTAAAAACATAAACATGTTTTTACTATTTTTTTTTAGTATAAAAATCCCAAACATTGTTTTTAATCTCATCTATTAATGGGACTTAATTTCAAATGAACTGCATAAGCATTCTGTGTTAATACTTAGCAGAATGGAACAAGAATGACAGAAAGTATTAATTTAATAGATGAATGAGCTTATTTCCTTATTTACTGCCCACTTCCTTTACTTCACACTAGTCTTTCTCTAACTCAGAGTCTGGTCCAGTCTCCATTTTCCACACAAGACCTCTCCCAGGGACAGAGAGCATGGGCATTGCCCTCGTATGTATGGGACCCCTGGCTTCACTGGTTTACAGTGGGGTCACCTGAGACAGGTGGACTAACCTCTGAGCTTCATTTTTCTTCACTAGTAAACTGGGGGTAAATCAGAGAAGCTATTGCTATAATAATTGCCCAGAATTACTACAATGTTATGCTGATCATAAAAGTGTCTATGTGCCTGGCAAGTGGGTACGCACTTGACCATAACTATTAGATGTGAAAGAGAAGGGAGTCATTGCTTGCTATCATCTGAGAGCCCCAACAGTGCTTCCAGCACCACCGGTCCTCCCTTTCCGTACCCATCTGCCCAAGGTATACCTGTCTGAGGTTAACTGCTGCGTGCCCAGGGAGAACATTTGAACATCAGCCCGAGCAACTTTGCCTCACTCCTGATTTGGTGATTCCTTTAAGAAAAGCAAAGATTAGCTGTAGAATGTGGTGACTTGATGGTACTCACTATGTTTGTTTTTATTTCAGGGGAAAAGCCTTTGCCAGTAAAAGAGTGGTACCTCAAGCAAGCAGCTTGGATCCTGTCCTCCCTGCTGACTCAGAATATTGTGTCAATCCTTTAGCCCACCAAGTATTTTCAGTTGCTCAAACAGATTTGCAAGCATTCTCTGTACAGAATGGTCTGAATGGACAAGTAGGCACCCCCCTCCTTTCTGCAACCTGTGATGGAGAGATCTTGAAGCCAGCTCTCCTTGCTGGCCAGCCCCTAGTGTACGTGCCCTCGACCTCACTGTTCATGCTGTATGGGAACCTACAGGAGGGACCGACCCCAGGGCTAGGGTCAGAGAGAGCTGGCAAGAGCTCAGAAGTCCTGGCCAGAGCAGAGCTATTGCTGGCACCTACATTAGTACCTCCGACTCAGAAGCGCCTCTGTGAAGAAAGGCAGGCCCAGGAAGAGGATGAGCCTGCCAGTAAAAGACACAGTCAGGAATTTGAAGACAGCCCCTTATCCCTTGTTATGCCTAAGGTAGGGGAGTGTGGTTGGATGAGTCTGGTGACATGCTATCTTCTTTTATGTTTGTTTTTTGAGATAGATAAGAGCCCCATAATACAAGCTGACCTGAAACTCGCGATGAAGCCCAGGCTGGCCTTGGCCTAGCAATCCTCTTGCCTCAGCTTCCTGAGTGCCGGGCTTATAAGTATTACCACCATGCCCAGCTCAGCCCTGAGCTTAATGAAGGTGCACAGGTATATTACTAAGTGACAGAGTCTAAAATACAAGGATATTTCATGTGTTATTTATATAATTAATTAAGCACTGGACTGGCTCTCTCAAAAATCTTGCCATAAAATAGTACTATAAGAAAAATGATTTTATAAAAATCATATTTATAAAATGCCAAAATGTATAAAAAAGAAAAAAACTTATCCATTAACTCGACACACAGTGGCAATCACTGCTAACATGTTTATATGTTTCTTCCCAATCTCTGTGGTGTGTGTGTGTGTGTGTATGTGTTTTGGTGGGGAAAAGGTGGGTAGAGTGTGGGGGTTTGAACTCAGGGCTTCACAATTGCTACGCAGGCAATCTACCACTTGAACCATGCTTCCAGCCCATTTTGCTCTGGTTATTTTTGAGATAAGGTCTTGCTTTTTGTCCAATCCAACTTGGACCATGATCCTCCTGATCTCAGCCTTCTATGTAATTTGGGTGACAGGCACATGCCACCATGTGAGCTGTTAGTTGAGATAAGGTCTCTCAAACTTTTTGCCCAGACTGGCCTTGGACCATGATCCTCCTGACCTCAGCCTCCAAAGGAGTTAGGATTACAGATGTGAGCCACTGCACCAGGCTTCTTTTTGTAAAAAAATAAAAAATAAAAAATGAATAAATAAAAATAAAATGCAAGTTGGTAATCACTGCAGTGATTATCTTAACCCAGGATGCAGCTGAGTTCCAGAGTCAGGAACATGGATGCTGGTGGCTGGCAAGGCCCTCAGCCAGCCAGCTACAAAATGAAAGAACAGAAATATGAGCTGTCCACATCTTCCACTTAGTAGCAGTGCAGAGGTTAATGAGATGTGACCAGTAGAACTCTCAGAAAGCAGAAGCACCATCATTATAGCAGTTTGCAGTGGGTCATTGAGGTGCCCTGCATGAGAATCATTCCATTAATTAAGAACCTTTCTCCTCGATGCCTTTCTCTTGCCAGAATGAGTTCTTCTAATTTTGTATATAGCCTGGGGTTGCAGATCAGAAGGAAAGACTGACAGACACATGTCTTACCCACCTAGATGGCTTTGGGCCAGCTCACAGTTCTGAGAAGGTCCCAAAAGACTGCAGTGTCCTTTCTGTATAATAAGCTAAGGAATTTATTTCATAGTCTAAACAGCATAGCCAGATTTCCATTACTAAAATCTCTATCCTGTGTAAATTCAGGAACCACAAGTCTACAGATACACGTGGCATAACATTCATTTTCGTGCTATACCTAGAGACAGGATGGAAACAACTGACATACACGAATCAGTGTGGCACACAGCTGTGTTTTACCTTTTTGTTTATACGTTAAGTATTTTGAGAAAGCTGTTCTAAGACTGATTACTGGAATTTTTTGTGTTTTCCTGCTTTCTGGTTTGGTTTTGCTTAGAAACTCTCAGATTCCACAGAGTTTTCCTCTCCCTACACCATGGGGAGCAGGGGATCTACACCCCTGGAAGACATTTGCGAGAATGGTCAGCTCACTACTGAAGAAGAGGTTTCAGGAAAGGCTGTCGCCTCTGAGTACAGAAATCCTTCAAGAAACACAGACACTGAACAGCCTTCCAAAGAAAATGAAGGCGCTTCTCTGCTGCAGTATCTTTATGTGCAGTCACCAGCGGGTAAGGATTGCCATCGTATCTTAGCGTCCCTCCTAGTACTTAGATCATACTTTTTGGGTTGTACATTTTGTCTGTGTCACCTGACCAAAGAAAGCAGTTCACTGACATGCTGCTCTCTGTTATGTCTGCATCATTTTCCTCTTAGCTCCTTGTGTTCTCCATCTATAAAATGAAGACAACTGCAGGACAACTGGAGAAATAATTAGGGCAGATCTTTTTTTAATACATTAAACTTTATTTGGTGGAAAAGCACAGCATATTAAACAGGTAGTTTTATTTTTATAATTTAGCTGACTACAGCCACAGTTCGGAATAATCAGATGAACTTGTTAGCCACTATGTGCAGCTAGCATTCTGATTTCTTGAGTGTCTGTAATTACCAGGTAAGTCATAGTGATCTAGAGTAAGAGGACTGGATATTTAAAAGCACTTATTATCTGTATGAAGGCAAGTATTCAGCCATCCTCATAGGTACAGCAGCAATAATAATAGCACCTGCTTCAGGAAAGCTGTGAAGTTGAATTGGGCTTAATAATAAGTCTGAAGAGCTTAGAATAATAGTGGCTCGCACTTAGTAAATGCCATTATTTTGAATTAAAGCTGAGTTCCAATAGAAACCTCATTTTAAAGGTGTGTTCTATGTACATAAAGCTCTTGAAGTGAACCTACTTAAATTGATTTCCTTCAATTCCTTGTGGACTTATGCCTGACCTGCCAAGCAGATTAGGTAGTATTTGTTACTATTCACTTACCATGTCTTTAGCTCTGAGTGTTTACTCTAAGCATGATACTTGATGTTGGAGATACTTTGGTGAGCAAAGACACACTCAGCCACTTCTGAATGAATTCCCAGCACAGGAATTCTTTGACTTTTTCTCAGCCATAGGCCATTAGACAGTCTGGGAAGTCTGGAGTCCTCTTCAAAATACTTAAAGATGGAGAAAGTTGAACACATAGGATTATAAAGAGCTATTTATATTGAAAAGGTAGAAAAAATAATTTTTGAAATTATTTATAGCAATAAAAAGACCTGACATGTCCAGAAGTACCATCATTTCAAACAATGTATTAAGAAATCTGTAATATATAAAGTAATATGAACTTGTCTGTACTTTTTAATAGTGACAGTCATGACATTATTAATACCATTGTGGGTTTTTTGCCTGTGATCATTGAGGGAAGTAGAAATTTTTAGTTAGAAGAAAATAGAAAATAAAAACATTTTTGCCCACTGAAGCTCTACTCTATTTTGGGTTCAGTGGAACTCACATTAAGATCCCTCCACCGGCATTGAACACATGATCTGCAGATAAATGTCAGGGCACCATCTTGGCCACAGATGTGAAGGGGCTATATTAGCTAGAAGAGTGCAGAAAGAGCTTTGACATGGTCATGTGGGAGAAGGTTCCACTATTCATTGACTCCCGTTTGAAAGGGCCCTGAGAAACGTGAATGTGAATAGAATCTTTATGTTGTGTTGATTTTCACTTTTTTTTCTACTTTTGTTTTAGGATTAAATGGATTCAGTGTGCTCCTACCCGGCAATCAAACCCCACATACTGTGGTGCCATCCTCAGGTCAGCTGCCATCCTTCAGCGTTCCTTGTATGGTCCTTCCATCTCCAACTCTGGGTCCTCTTCCTGTTCTCTATGCCCCTGCAATGCCTGGGCCCGTGTCTTCTGCTCCTGGCACTCTCCCCAACACAGGACCCGTGAATTTTGGCTTGCCTGGCCTTGGATCTACACCTCATCTTCTCATCGGCCCTGCAGCCATGGTTAATCCGAAGTCATCCACACTCCCTTCTGCAGACCCTCAGCTTCAAGGTCAGCCCTCCCTGAACCTGAGTCCTGTGATGTCAAGATCACACAACGTCATCCAACCTGAGTCCCCGGCTTACACGGGACATCCAGTCTCAGTAGTAAAATTACAACAGGTGAGTCCTGAAAGTTCCCTCCTCTGTGATAGGGGTACACCAACATTTAATTAGCTTTCATTTTATACATGGTAACTCAGAACTGGGATTATGTACTTATTTTGCAAAACACTGAGATACAAGGTGAGAAAGTCTGTGCTTTAATGACAAAAGTAACTTTTGCAGTTTTCAATCTGTATCCTAGATTTAGAAGGAACCTATTTTAAGAAGAGTTAAAGGAGATTTTTGAAAAATGCAACATATTTGGATGATTTCAACGATCTTGAAGCTTTAATTTCATTAAGTCATTAGGGAGACCATCCTAAAGTTTACTTGTGTAGCTGTATAAACAATCAAGAGAAACAAAAGCCTCAATTCTAACGCAGATTCTTCTCAACATCAGTCATTTCATAAATGTGATGTCTAGGAGGTGATAAAGACATAAATATATAGACATATATATCATATAAAATACATATGTAAATGACCGTAATCCATATAAATTAATCAGTACTATATTTGTCCCTTAAACTCCTTTTGCAGTTCAGTCAGTAAATATTTGTTCAGTTCTTATTATACATAAGGCATTGCTCAAGTAAGTATTTAACAATGTATTTGACCAAAAATATTTTAAACAAGTTATTCAGAGGCTCAAAAGTTTGATATTAAAATAATCATGTTAGTCTGTAATTCATATTTTTTTTTTTTTGCCATGTTGGGATTGAACCCAGGCCCCTCATATATGCTGGGCAAGTGCCTCTACCCTCAGCTATATTCCTAACTTCAGCATAAGCTTTGTGGTCACCATTTGTGATCTAGAAACAGAGTAATGGTCCCTACTATTTTAAAGTAAATGAAAAGGAAAAATATTAACATAAGAAGATAAGCATTAACAAATAAACATACAGTTCTGTTTGCTTTACTTGCTCTAAAGGACTTTACATAGATTTTAATTCTTACATCTCTATGAAGTTGATACTTTTGTCATACTGTCACATTGATGAGACAAGATGGGTTAAATGATTTGCACATGATCACCTAGCTAGTGATGGGAAACCCCAGACCCTGTTTCTAGAGCCTGGCCACATTTGTAACCTCTTTGGTTAGTAGACTGCCTCTCTGCACCCCAAGTAAACATGGATTTAGTTTCCAGTTGTGTTAAGCATTGTGAAGAAGACAAAGAGGAGGTGGGTGACAGCAATGCAAAGAAAAGGCAGCACCTGCACAGGGATCACAGTGACACGGGTCAAGAAAAGATCTCCAGCTCAGAGACTGAAAGAGTTTGATTTTATTTCTGCTTTTGCTCTTTTTATCTAGTCACCCGCTCCAGTGACCCCCAAGAGCATCCGATGCACACATCGTGAGACATTTTTCAAGACGCCTGGCAGCCTTGGAGACCCTGTCCTTAGGAAAAGAGAAAGGAATCAATCTCGAAACACCAGCTCAGCCCAGAGGAGACTAGAAATCCCCAGCAGTGGGCCTGACTAACCTGCTGTTCTGGCAGGTGGGCCAGGATCAAACCGCCTGAATTTCCCTGTGTCCCAGGCAATGTGCTAAGTGGAATACAAACCCTACGGTCCTCAGCTTGTGTCCTTGCTCTCTCATCCACCAGTTGTGTTAACTTCCCAACATCATGAATCATCCTGAAAGAAATGATTTTTAATTGTGTATTTAATACCAGCTAGAGTTCAGACTCTGCATGGTATCACAGTGACAGCACTGACTGTGTGGTTTTGATTCAAGAATTGTCTGATTGCTGGAAATAGATCTGAACAGGCTGGAGCCTTGTAGCTTTGCTGAAGGGGGGCTGTCTAGCACTTAACCAGGGTAAACATTTGTGATGTGTATTCCCACTTGCCCTAAGTAAGTCTGTGGTAAGAGAACTTTCTTTCTGCAGTTACAAAGCTACTGCTTCCTTAGGCTTCACCAGAAAGCCACCTTCAGTTTATGAATCCTATGGTATTATTTATTTTATTCCTGAAATGGGATTTCGTGCAAAAAAAGTTTACAACTACAGCCTAACACATTGTTTTTCAGGGTATGACGACTTGAATGTTTATACTTTTTTGTATAATTTGCCCTGCACTTATTCTACAACCTAGTAATAATGTGGATAAATATATATACATGACAAATGTCAAGACCAAAATAACTGTGAATCACACACCTTGCCATCAATGAACTGTGCAAACCCTGTGTGTGGGCATGAGAACTAAGGTGAGCCACTAGGAGCCTAGTGGCTGCTTCTCAAATAACTAGGAACAGTGAGGTTTTACTGTGCATTTCAAGAAAATCCTACTGGGTTCAGTTTCTTTCACTACATGCCCTGTGTTTTCTATTTAAATGTTAAATGTAGAGTTTCAGGTATGGATGCCTTTTAACAATTGCTGTTTGTAAAATGAATCAGGATGGTGGAAAGTAATTCTGTGGAAAATTGGAATCTGGATGAGACCTTCTGCTTGAATTCTGAAGAGTTAACGGTATAGAAACTGATATAGAACTAGTAGGCAATTCTATTTGTCATTTACTTCTTCATGATTGGAAGGGCAAGAGGGAAAATGGACACATAACGTTCCATTAATGAGTATTCAAACCATAGTTATGTGGTACTCCCAAAAAATAAGAACAGTGAGTTTGGGGTTGATTGTTCTAGCACAAATACAAATCTGGAAACTGTTACACTATATCCCACATTACTTTAGGGGCTCATTAAGGAACCTCACTAGTTTTTTTGTATTCTAGATTTATTGATATTTACCTCACTCTTTCTCTTCAGAATCAATTCCCTCCTCTTCTACTTCCTTTTTTTTTCTTCTTTTGTTTCTTCCTTTCTTCATTCTCTCCTTTTTAAATCTCTTAGATTTAGAATCTTAGTATAGGGATATTTTTTATTTTTATTTTTGACCCAATAAGATGTTATATGAAAGAATAAAAATATTAATTTAAGAGACTCTGGGAGTCTGAGTAAAGTAGCTTTATATTAACTACAGTGTACTATTAGCCTTACTACCCCCACAAGATTTTTTGAAAACTTGAGATAGGTAGCCAGATTAAATAAATTTGCTACTTATATCAAATTTTTAAAAACACTAAACTTTTAAAGTTTACATGATGGTATTTTCCCCCTTTTTTGAAATCTCTAGAGTTAGGTTAAAAATGTGGTTCTAACCATCAACAATTGCATGATAATGATTGCTGTGAACTAATACTGATGGGTTCCTTATCAAAATAAATCAAGGTATGCCTTTTCAGGTAGATTACAGGATATGCAGCATATAAAATCTGTGCAGGGTATTTGCATTTTAAATCATGCTTAAGAACTTGCACAAAATATTTTCACTGAGAAGTCTGCATTTAGATGGAAACACAAATTGATTTTCCTTCACTGTTCCTTAATACTTTCTACTTATTTTAACTTTTTACTGTCCTTTTATTATTATTCTGTTTGTAATTTGACCATATTAACCTCAGAGAATTTATGGTTCTTGGAAGGTGTTAAGAAGCAATCCTGTAAATGAGAATGGGGTAACTTTGTGAACACAATTAGCAGTAGAAAACTAAGAGAAAGTACTTCTGTATTCAGTATCCAGTTGATGTGGCTGTATAAGATATAAAAATAAAATAATCAGTGGTTGTTTCTGTCAGGAAATTGAATCTTTCAGAACAGGTGATGACAGTGAAGCCACTGGGCTAGACTTGGATGTTTCAGGTAGTGAAGAAGCAATGGCAATCTAGAGTCTATCGTTGTATAATTTAGTAAAAGGAAAAAATAAGTGTTGGAGATCCTGCTAAGGAAATGCAGCTTTGAGTCAGCACTGAGGGTGTGTGTGCCCTACACTGTCCAGGGTTTCTGAAACCCTTTCATTCTGGTACAAGAGTCGGGGGTATAATTTTATACTTGAATCTACCTACCAAGTTTACATTACTCAATTCCTTTTCGTAAGGTGCTATTTCTGTATTTAAATAACTTTTTAATGTAAAGCTGCTTTCTGCTTATCTTATTGCACTGCTAGATTTACTTAGGTCTTAATTTTATTGCTGCTTACTGCTTTTGTTTTCATATGATTTAGCTCTGCTCTTTTCCTAATGGCTATATTATCTATAGCTATCTACTTGTAACTTTACTACATGTAAACCAAGTTTTTTCTTTTAGGAAAATATTAAGCTTTATAAAATAGTAATAAAAATTAATGCATTTAGTAAGAGATTTTGTTGTACTGATGGGCTTTTATTTTTGGTGGGACTGACATTTTGAGTTCAGAGCTTTGTGCTTGCAAAGCAGGTACTCTGCCACTGGAACCACACCTTCCATTTTGCTCTGGTTATTTTTTGTTGTTGTTGTTCATTTATTCACATGTGCATTGCTGTGGTTATTTTGGAGATGGGGGTCTCATGAACTATCTTCCCAGACTGACCTTGAACCATGATCCTTCTGATCTCAGCTTCTCAAGTAGCTAGGAGTATAAGGCATGAGCCACCAATGCCCAACGTGATGGACTTTCTTTGCTAATGGTTTCAGGAAAATCAATAACAGCTCTCACATAGCAGCCAGACCCTTCTCAACCCATGTCATATCTTTTTGCTGAGACCTTCCAGTTGTTCCCACATGCCAAAACTTATTGCATCAGAAAGACATGGGAACTTAAGAGATTGTGAAACTGTGCTACTGAGCTTCCAATTTCTACTGAGGTCAGTTGCTCTTGTCTGGAGCTTCCAAATGATATCCATGCTTTCTTAATATGGGAATCCTAGTTGAATGCAGACCACCTTCCCAGCTGTTGATATGCTCCCCTTTGATTCAAACTTGATCTCATTCTCCCTCGCTTTGAGTGTATGGAGTCATCTGTATTGCATTGTCAAGTCTCTCCTGCCAGATTGTGAGATGGGACTGACACAAGTCATCTCTGGAACATGTGCCTGAACTTCCTGTGATGCAAGCAATACATTTTCCTCCAGCTGCTGCCCTCCCATAGCCTCCTGCAGTCCACTCTACACAGAATTGGGTAGGACTTGACTCAGACTGACTGTCTCCCATTAGCCTACATCAAGTGCCCTTTGTCCTGATTCTAAGAAAACCCAACCAAATTCAGCAGCCTCTTCCTCTGCTATCAAATCCACCAACCTCACCCAGGCTAGTCCAATTCCAGAACATACTTCCTGTTGTAGGAGAAAGGCTAGAGGCAAGCAGTGCCCAAACACCTTCCCTCATTCCCTATAGGGTGACAGTGGTGAGCAGTCAGCATAATCCCAAAAGAAGCTACCCTAAATCCATTCCTATTTCTGTTTCCTTAATCATTTCATGGCCAGGTTGTGGGTAAAGGTATTGAACAGTTGCATAACTCGTTTTGCAAAACCTCTATCAGTTCTGCAGAGTTCCAAGGACTTTGGAATAGAGCATTTCCTATAACATGGTGCTGCAGCTAGTTCACCACTTAATGTAGTGTTACAGTAATTGTAAACTTCCATGGTCAGGATTTCCATGTTCCTAGATGATGGTTCTGGGACTTATATTTTGTACTTATCACATTCAATTCCAGTTTAATTTCCAACATTAACACTCTTCATTCTTTACTTCATTTTTATCTACATTGTCCAATTCACTCTCTGAATTATACATTTTATTAAATTGAACATGTTTATTTATCACTGGGAAACAAAGCAGTAGCATGACTCCACGCTTTATGTGAATAGACTATGCTCAGAAGACGTTGAAAAAAGTGAAGTGATTGGTCATTGATCACGGGTGTCTGACTTATATAGTGACTTGTGGATTAAAGCAGCAAAATTTGTACTTTATGCAATTACTCATGGATAAAATAGAATATCATAGTAACTAAAATGTGAACTATTAATTGAAGAACTGGCATTTAACTAAACCATGATAACTGACATGCACACCTTTCATAACCAGATCAATTTAACCCCTGCTCCACACAAACACTCCCCCGCTACTCCCTAGAAGTGGTTGGAGCATCTCTAGTGGCATGTATGTGAAAACATAATACAACAAGCGTAACAGCAAGGGGCCTTACATCACTAAAGCTAGACCTAGGACGAGAATTCACACTGATTTTTACTCAGATTCCTTTGGTTCTGCCTTACTCTGTCAGTTTTTATCCACAGGCTGTGGGAATTACAGCCTCAAGCAAAGGTCAAAAAAACAAAAAACTTTGGAAGTTCTTCCAGAAGAGTAAGAATGAACTTTCTCAAAATTCCCCCAGAAAGTCTCAGATCTTGTAAGCCCAAATTGGTGTTCATTTGTTATTATTTAAATATGGATAGTGTGCCCCAAAGTTTCATATGTTAAGAGCTTGATCCCCAGGCAGCACTGTTGGAAGGAGGAATCTGTGAGGTATGGCGTAGGTGGAGAGTCTTAGGTCATTGGGGGCATGCCCTTGAAAAGACTTAGGCCCTACCCATTCTTTCTCTCTTTGCTTCCTGACTCATATTGTGCCTTTTTTTCCCCCAATATATAACCCCACCATTGC